ATGATTGCTTTAGCCCAGGAGTTCAAGGTTACAAGGATCTGTGTTTGTGCCACTTCATTCTAGCCTGGGCAACAGAGCAAGACTGTCTCTAAAATAAAATAAAAATTAAAGCTTGAATTCTTGCATTTCTAAATACGCAAATTTGAAATATGCGAAATACACATATTTTTTAAAATGGGTGCCCGTGCGGTGCCTTACGGCTATAATCCCAGCGCTTTGGGAGGCTGAGGTGGGTGGATCACCTGAGGTCAGGAGTTTGAGACCATCCTGGTCAACATGGTGAAAGCCTGTTTCTCCTAAAACTACAAAAATTAGCTGGGTGTGGTGGCACGCACCTATAGTCCTAGGTACTCAGGAGGCTGAGGCAGGAGAATTGCTTGAACTTGTGAGACGGAGGTTGCAGTGAGCCTCTCACACTCCAGGTTGAGATCGCACTACTGCACTCCAGCCTGGGTGACAGAACAAGACTCTGTCTAAAAAAAAGGGATCATCTGTATTTGCCCAGGCACTCATTAGCGTACAAATGTTAACAAGTAGAGGATATAGTGCTGGCACAGTAAAATTAATAGCAGATTGGGATTTAGGATCTTAGGTTCTACTCCTGACTTTGCCACTAGTTAGCTTTGTTTCTTTGACAGAGTCATTTCCTATATCTAAGCCTGTTTCCTCATCTGTAAAATGACAAAGCTGTACTCTAAGGTTCATCGTTTTAGCTCTAATATTTTGTATTGCTTTTCTTATGGCTCAAAAGCTCCCTGGTGCAAGAGGTCCTTCTCTTGATTGCATTTTAAGTAACTCAATATTTTGAATTATTGATTTACCTATCAGCAAGAGGTGGTTTATTTTCCTTTCCTGTTTGAGTGCTTAAACAAGAGACATTACTCTTTTCCTTTCTAGATAGGATTGGAGTTAATAAAGGCTTTCTTGGCTTTCTCCTAGTTTTTTTTTTTCCGATTGCTTGTTTTTCATTGTGTTGTTGGGCTCACTTCTTATTATTTGTGCTTTCTTTTAGTAATGGTGTTATCTTGGTGTTTATTATGTACTTGGAAGACTTAGTATATGTGGGTTTTGGGGTCCTATTTATTTTCTCATGCGCCAGTTCCGATCATTGTTTGTTTGTGGGTTTTTACCCTTCCTCCCATATTGTTTTGCTTTCTCCCCCTCTCCCTTCCCTCCCTTTCAGGAAAATGGAGGAGTGGCTCCATTACTTCTGGCTCTGCCCAGGTTTTCTGCCACAAGAGTGGCACGGCCTGTGCCTCTAATGCTTCTGATAGAGTCGTGACTGCTTTGGATGCTACACCTGCCCCAAGATGTAATATTGAGCATTGAGATTCCAGGGGCAGTACATCGTCCTGGAAAGCCTCAAGAAAGGAAACTTCAGAGCAAACAGAATCAACTAGGGATCATGACTATACATCCATCACATGCATACCAGCATGGGTCCAGCCGAGGCCTCCAAAATGATGCTTTGCCAGCCTCAGCTGGTTCTCAAGTGATGATATCCTTGAAGTCTCTGTGGCCCGTGACTCCAGAGTTAAGGTAGTGGAGTTTCCCTTTAAAGCATCTCACAGCAGGCTTTGTAGATGGGACACATCTCACTTCAACATGCTTGCTGACTACTCAGGTTGAAGGTCAGCCTCAGCCCTTAGGTCCATTAAATTAAGTTCTAATTTTGAAATGTAGGTTATTATGTTATAGGCTAGGTTTATGGTAGACTGGGTCTTTGACATATTGGACTTCAGTAATAACTTATGCAAAATGATTCAAATTATTCTTTTTAGGGCTTAATTTACATAGCTATAAATTAAGTTTTCCTTTGGACAGAAGGTGTTAAAAGAGCAAAAATAAAACTTTTAGCCAGGTAACCTGTCTCCATCACTCTGTATATAATTTATGATTTGGAGAAAAATGACCTGAAGTTTGTAATTTTTCGGCTTCTGAATGTACTATGATTGTTCTATATGTTATGATCTTATTGAAAGTTGTCGCTAAGTTGTAATTCTACAGTATGTGGATCTGATTTCACTTTATATGATTTATTAATAGGTATGCAATTGTATCTTATCTCATGTACATCACATTTCTTAGTCTAATGACAATCCAGAACTTGAGAATGCATTAAGTACGTTTACCTATTGTGACCTTCCATTTTTTAGTAGACATATTCTTTGGAGACTAGGATTTGAAAGAAGAAAAATTACGTGATTTCCTACAATTAACAACCAAATCTTTATAGTTAATAAGAATTTTTTAAAGACTTTTTTCAAACTTGTAAACACAAACTGAAATCATGTTGTTGAACTAGCCTTTCAAGTAACTAGATTAGGAATTGTATTTTTTTTGGCTGTTTAGTGTTCAACCCAAATGGTGGTATGAGATCTCCTTGTACTTGCAAGTAACTTATGTTTTTCCATTTCTAATCTAGTGTTCAATGCTTTATATATTTTACACACACACACACACACACATACACACATTTATTCGTCCCAAAATTCATTATTCATATTAGTTTGAGGAAGTTTCTTCTGGTTCATGAGAAATGACAGTGTAGTATTACTAAAGATGGTTTTAATATATACCAACAGAAAAAAAAAAGTGCTATGCCAGACGTAGAAATTTACTGCTAACATTTTATTTTAGAGTCTTCTGGTCTTTTTTAGGGACATACAAATTTTAGAAGTTTTTTTTTATATATAAAATAGAACTATATTGTGGTTTATAAATTACTTTTTCACTTAATATTAATAAATATTTTCTATATTAATCTTATTTAGAGTATCATTTTAATTTCTATCTCTTATGGATAATCATGTGATAATACTATTTAATCAGTTTCTGATATTGAATGTTTAAACATTTTCTCACCCTTTGCTATTGCAGACAACATTGTAATAAACATCCATGAAAATTTTTTTTTCTTTTGAGACGGAGTTTTGTTGCCCAGGTTGGAGTGCAATGATCTCAGCTTACTGCAACCTCCGCCTCCCAGGTTCAAGCAGTTCTCCTGCCTGAGCCTCCTGAGTAGCTGGGATTACAGGTGCGCGCCACCACACCCAGCTAATTTTCGTATTTTTAGTAGAGACAGGGTTTCACCATGGCCAGGCTAGTCTCGTACCCCTGACCTCAGGTGATCTGCCCGCCTCTGCTTCCCAAGGTGCAGGGATTACAGGCGTGAGCCACTACGCCTGGCTGAAATTTTTTTAAAAAAAGATGATTTTAGAGAATTTTTCCAGAAAGATATATTTCTTCAATTTAAAGGGTTTCCCTTTATTCTGAAACTGTTTCCTAATTTGGGGAGGGTATGTTGTCAATAGTCTTTATTTTATAAAATGATGAAAGTAAATGGAGTTTGGGTTTAAACTTCTTTTTTTGGCAAAATGAAAAGTTGGCAACCCTGTATTTGTCCCATTTTAGAAAAGCTTACAGTGTGCAAACCATTGATCTAGAAATGTAAGAGCAAAACTTTATAGCTCAACTTTAGTAAGATTTAAATTGGTGTGGTCTAATCTTCACTTTATTGAAATACAAATCAGGGCAGAAATCCTCAGAAAAACAAATGCATCTGTGGCTTCCTTTAGCAATTGATGATTCTCTGTGTTGTCTAAATATTTCTGATCCATCTGTTTGAGGGAGAAAGCACCAAAAGGCATATAATAAACATTTATGGAAGTGATTGCCTATTTTGCTTCAGTCTATTTAGATGCCTTTGCTATGCATCTTTGAATATGAATAGTAATGAGCAATCTATCTGTCAAATAAAATTTAGGAGGCAGCTAACATGCATTAATATCTCCTGCCATTGAATGAATTCTTCATTGAAATGTGGGTGTGTGCTAAGAAGTGTAAAGAGGGGTTTCAGATCCAGAAATAACAAATGTTCCATCATCCCAACTACAAGTTTTTGACTTAGCTGGAGAGTCAGTCCTGATTGCAGAGAACATGTTTATCCCATACAGATTAGCTCATGGCAGACTGTCAGGATCATGCCATCTTCTTTTTGAACTTTCCTATAAACTATTTTCTTGTTACTGTGATTTGTGAATTTGTATTGAAAGGATACCCACACTTATCAAAACATCTTGTCTTGCACAAAAGCTGTATGATTGCTTTTATCTTACTTTTTCAGTTATTTTTCTTGAGTACAAACATGGAGATTTCCTAGGAATATATTTTATTTTAACATATGATGGTAGGAGTAAAAGTAGTGTTTTCTTATGCTTTTAGTAATTGATTTTTCCATTAGCAAATTGGTCTTTGAGGAGCATCTTGAGAAATTTTGTTGTGAGTGAAACAACTGCACTATTTTTTTTAAAGTAACCCATTTATGGTAATTCATGTTCTTTTTACCATGTATGTAATTAATAGCAATCATGTCCCTTCTTTCCCCTGTCTTGAATATCATTAGAGATTATTTATTGCTGCAATACTTAACATTTGTGTATACTTTCATCTGGTTAACAGAATTTATGTAGTACATTGAAATTAAGGTCCAAAACTATCATCCTCTAGTTTGAGGCAAGATGTTATTATATAGTGGTTTATTACACATTGGTTTTCCAAGAATATATTTTGCTGTTGAATTAAACCTCTGGTGGAGTTTATCTTGGAATGCCATGTGTCTGAACAAGTTCATTTACTATTGTTGACCTGTCTGACATTGTAGTTGTAGGATGATGTCAGCAAAGCAAATAGAGGATTGGAAGGTTATCCAGCATCGAATTGCAATTAGTAAAAATAGTCAATAGAATATGTCCTTCAGAGTTTTCAGTATATTGCAGAATTGTATAAAATTGAGAAATAATAAGTGTAAAGAACATTTTCAAAAGTTTTTGTTTATAGCTTAGGTTAAAACGTGGTTTTGCTAATTATTTATTTACAATGTAAAATCTATTGGCACATTTATTTCTATTTTGATGCCAAGAAGTCTGCTTTTATTTTTAATTTGGTATATGTCACCCCCAGATATATAGTTCTTTTTTTATTGTTTTTTTACTCTCAAGAATTGCCAAGAAGATGCTTTTAGAAGAAATTAAAGCCAATCTTTCCTCTGATGAGGATGGATCTTCAGATGATGAGCCAGAAGAAGGGAAAAAAAGAACTGGAAAACAAAATGAAGAAAACCCAGGAGATGAGGGTGAGCTCCCCAAAGAGAAGTTTATAATGTTATAGTTTGATTCCTTGACTAATTCAGTCTTTGAAGAATATCTGACCAAGAAATATCTTAATATGGCTGAGCGTGGTGGCTCACGCCTGTAATCTCAGGACTTTGGGAGGCCAAAACGGGTGGATCAGTTGAGGTCAGGAGTTTGAGACCAGCCTGACCAACATGGTGAAACCCTGTCTCTACTAAAAATAGCTGGGTGTGGTAGCGCGTGCCTGTAGTCCCAGTGACTCAGGAGGCTGAGGCAGGAGAATCGCTTGAACCTGGGAGGCAGAGGTTGCAGTGAGCCGAGATCGTGCTGCTGCGCTCCAGCCTGGGTGACAAAGCGAGACTCCATCTCAAAAAGAAGAAGAAGAGGAAAAAAAAGAAATCTCTTAATACAGGCATTTAGAGTTCATGAAAATGTTTAAAACTTTGTTACCACGACTTCTCTTGAATATCTTGTAATAATTATGGAAGTTGCTCTAATTTTATCAGTTACTGCCAATAAACAGATATTTTTTGTTTTTTGTTTTTGTTTTTTGTTTTTGTTTTTTTTGAGACAGAGTTTTGCTCTTGTTGCCCAGGCAGGGGTGCAATAGCGCAATTTTGGCTCACTGCAACCTCTGCCTCCCAGGTTCAAGTGATTCTCCTGCCTCAACCTCCCGAGTAGCTGGAATTACAGGCCTGTGCCACCACACCCTACTAATTTTGTATTTTTAGTAGAGACGGAGTTTCTCCATGTTGATCAGGCTGGTCTTGAACTCCTGAACTCAAGTGATCTGCCCGCCTCGGCCTCCCAAAGTGCTGGGATTACAGGTGATCCACCGCGTCCGGCCCTAAACAGATGATTTTCAAAGCAAAATATTTTATACCTTATAAAAGGTTCTATAAATATATAGGTGATATTTAGTCAATATTTAATAATAGTAATATGTCAAGTCTGATGTGTGAGATTACCTGATAACACCAATGATACCAAAGTATGTGTATAACTCTGATTTTTTTCGTAAGTTGCAGTAGTTATCAACAGGCAAAATAGATTTACAAGACATTTTAAAGACTGAAGAAGGTTTTATTGATTTATTTTCTTCATTTAGAAGCAAAAAATCAAATCAATTCTGAGTCAGATTCAGATTCTGAAGAATCTAAGAAGCCAAGATACAGACATAGGCTTTTGAGGCACAAACTGACTGTGAGTGATGGAGAATCTGGAGAAGAAAAAAAGACAAAGCCTAAAGAGCATAAAGAAGTCAAAGGCAGAAACAGAAGAAAGGGTAAGACATTTTAATGCTGAATGTAAAGAACATATTGGACCAGGCACAGTGGCTTATGCCTATAATCCTAGCACTTTGGGAGGCTGAGGTGGGCAGATTGCTTGAGCCCAGGAGTTTAAGACCAGCCTGGGCAACATAGGGAAACCCTATCTTTGCAAAAAATAGAAGAAATAGCTGGGCGTGGTGGTGTGCACCTGTAGTCCCAGCTACTTGGGAGGCTGAGGTGGGAGGATCACCTGAACCCCAAAGGTCAAGGCTGTAGTGAGCAGTGATTGCACCACTGCATTGCAGCCTGGGTGACAGAGTGAGACCCTGTCTCAAAAATAAAAACAAAAAAAAAACCATGCTGGTTTTGTAAACTAATTATAGTAATGAAATTTAAGTATATGGCCAGACACGGTGGCTCATACCTGTAATCCCAGCACTTTGGGGGGCTGAGTCGGGTGGATCACAAGGTCAGGAGATTGAGACCATCCTGGATAACATGGTGAAACCCTGTCTCTATTAAAAATACAAGAAATTACCTGGGTGTGGTGGCACGCGCCTGTAGTTCTAGCTACTCGAGAGGCTGAGGCAGGAGAATCGCTTGAACCTGGGAGGCGGTGGTTGCAGTGAGCTGAGATAGCACCACTGCACTCCAACTTGGGCCCCAGAGCGAGACTCTGTCTCCAAGAAAAAAAAAATAGAAAGAAATTTAAGCATATCTACTCAAACAATTGACCAACTATATTAAGCAAATGTCAGTACACTGGCAACAGGTATACTATCACATGAGATTAAAATTAATAATTTAGAGTGGGAAGATAAACCAGAAACTTTAGATGACACAAAGAATATTTTTAACCTTTAGATTATAAAGAGAAATAAATATGATTTAATAAACATTATGTAGAAAGTATAAGATTGCATATAAAACTGCAAAAACATAGTGCTTTCCTGTAGAAGGGTAGAAGTTGCAATTAATTTGGGTAAATTTTGCCTGTGAATTTTGGGTAACAAAAAGTACAAAGAATTTTTTTGTTGTTGTTGTTTGGCTTTTTGATGACTAGGGGTAAATTTTGAAGACTATTGTTAGTACCCAACCCATGGATGGCAGATGAACTCTTTTTGCCACCTAGGAATAGGAACGCATTTTTGCAAGTGTTTGGGAAATATAATAGGCTCTAAAGGATGCAGAGCCATTGAAAATGTATTTTTTTAAATTACTGTATTTATTTTTGAACTCTGGACCTCTGGTGATCTACCTACCTTGGCCTCCCAAAGTGCTGGGATTATAGGCGTGGGCCACTGTACTGGCCTTATTTTTAAACTTTTTGTATAACAGCTATATTGAGATATAACTCACAAACCACACAGTTCACCCATTTACAGTATACAATTTAGCAGTTTTTAGTATAATCATAGAGGATTACCACCACTCTAAAAAATGTTTTATTTGAAATATATGTACAAAGAAGTGCACGTTATCAATAGGTAGACATCTTGATGAAAATGTAGGGCACCCAGATCAAGGAACAAGGTGTTGATTACTAACACCCAAGAATCACAACCTCAGCATGACCACTTTTTTTCCTATTGAAAGATTTTAATCAAAGATATCATATGATTAGATTAGTTCCTTATTATTCAGTGAGAGTGAAGGCACTGAATGTTTGGAAGGTATTGCTGTAGTTGATGTGGTAAAATATACATAACAACAAATGGGGTTGTTGGAGAAGAGGAAGATTGACTTAAGTCTTATAGGACGTTGAATTGTTAGGTCTTCTTAATTGATATGAAAGGGAAAAGTCTACAATGAGTGTCAGGTTTTTACAGTTTTCATGGTATATGTACAATATCACAAAAATAGTTGAGGTTATTCAGTGGAGTTGTAATGTTCTACAAATGGAAAGCTAAGGACATAGTCTTGGAATCCTAAACATTTATAGGGTTTTTGGGCAAGAGTTATTCACTAAAGATGAGGAGGAAGAAGTTCTTGCCACATACATATACAATTAATACATGTTATGGACATTTTCATGTTAATAAATAATAGTGCATCATTTTGTGACTACTTGTCTTATACATTTTTAAAAATTATTTATTTTTATTTTTTATGTATTTATTTTTTTTGAGTCGGAGTCTCGCTCTGTCGCCCAGGCTGGAGTGCAGTGGTGCAATCTCAGCTCACTGCAAGCTCCGCCTCCCGGGTTCACGCTATTCTCCTGCCTCAGCTTCTTGAGTAGCTGGGACTACAGGCGCCCACCATCACACCCGGCTAATTTTTTATATTTTTAGTAGATACGGGGTTTCACCATGTTAGCCAGGATGTTCTCGATCTCCTGACCTCGTGATTCATCTGCATCGGCCTCCCAAAGTGCTGAGATTACAGGCGTGAACCACTGCGCCCGGCCTGTCTTATAAAGTTCTTTGCAATATGGCTGCAAGCTCTTACAGATTCTGTAAAGGAACTGTGTGATTTAACATGTTATGTATATCACAACATGGATTCCTGTGCCTCTTCAACAAAAGGAGCAATATTGATTTTGCTTCTGAGGCTTAGTTCAATATATAGACCCTTTTATTATATATGATTACATTTGAGATTTGCTTTATTAAAACCTGAATTTTCTATGATCTGTGTTTCTACTGCCTGATTCTGTGGGTAATTTATTACCCAGGTGATTTTGTTGTTGTTGTTTTTTGTTTGTGTAGGAGACAGTAAACTTCTAAAATCCCATCATATTTGTGTTTCTAATATGGATTATGATCATAGTGGTTGATATATAGTTGAAGTTGCATGATTTTCTGAGTTTTGTAAATTCTGGTGTTCCTATATTATTTGGAAATTTGAATTGAGAGATGGGAAAAATCAAAAGTGAATAGTCTACTTATTAAATGTAGTTGAATTAAATTGAAATGCATTGAAGAGGCATAAGAACAAAGTGCAGCATATGAACTCTAATTTTCTCCTAAATTAGAAAAATGTTACAAAATTATTTTAGTGACAATTTGAAACTGTAAATATTGCCTTTTTATTAGATGATAGTAATTTTTTTTCAGATGTGGTCATGGTATTTATTATGTAGGGTGGTATCCTTATGCGTAGGGGTAAAGTGTCATCCGCATTTAATATCACAGTTCAGTGTAAGAAAAGGTGTGTGCGTGTGTGTGTGTGTGTGTGTGTGTGTGTGTGTAGAGAGAGAGAAAAAAGCAAATGTGGTAAACTGCTAATAATAAGTGAATTTAGGATAAGGCATACAAGTGTTCATTCAATAATTCTTTCAAATTTTTGGTAGATTTCAAAAATTTTTAAATGTTGGGTGAAAAATTAATACTAGGCTTAAAATTATACTTAATTACAGGATTTTTTTGTGTGTGAATGCAGGGATATATGTGTGTTTTTGATATTCTCCCAGCTTTCCAGTTGCTTAACTATTCGTTTTTTTTATTGTGGTAAAATATACATAACATAAAATTTGCCATTTTACCCATTTTTAAGTGTACAATTCAGTAACATTAAGTACATTCACATTTTTATGCAACCATCACTTCTATATGTCCCCAAAACGTGTCATCATTCCAAATGGAATCTCTTTTTTTTTTTTTTTTTGAAACAGTTATTCTTGCCACTTTATTTTATTTATTTATTTATTTTTTTAAATTTATTTATTATTATTAAACTTTAAGTTGTAGGGTACATGTGCACAACGTGCAGGTTTGCTACATATGTATACTTGTGCCATGTTGGTGTGCTGCACCCATCAACTCATCATTTACATCAGGTATAACTCCCAATGCAGTCCCTCCCCTGCCCCCCCTCCCCATCATAGGCCCCGGTGTGTGATGTTCCCCTTCCCGAGTCCAAGTGATGTCATTGTTCAGTTCCCGCCTATGAGTGAGAACATGCGGTGTTTGGTTTTCTGTTCTTGTGATAGTTTGCTAAGAATGATGGTTTCCAGCTGCATCCATGTCCCTACAAAGGACACAAACTCATCCTTTTTTATGGCTGCATAGTATTCCATGGTGTATATGTGCCACATTTTCTTAATCCAGTCTGTCACTGATGGACATTTGGGTTGATTCCAAGTCTTTGCTATTGTGAATAGTGCCGCAATAAACATACGTGTGCATGTGTCTTTATAGCAGCATGATTTATAATCCTTTGGGTATATACCCAGTAATGGGATGGCTGGGTCATATGGTACATCTAGTTCTAGATCCTTGAGGAATCGCCATACTGTTTTCCATAATGGTTGAACTAGTTTACAATCCCACCAACAGTGTAAAAGTGTTCCTATTTCTCCACATCCTCTCCAGCACCTGTTGTTTCCTGACTTTTGAATGATTGCCATTCTAACTGGTGTGAGATGGTATCTCATTGTGGTTTTGATTTGCATTTCTCTGATGGCCAGTGATGATGAGCATTTTTTCATGTGTCTGTTGGCTGTATGAATGTCTTCTTTTGAGAAATGTCTGTTCATATCCTTTGCCCACTTTTGGATGGGGTTGTTTGTTTTTTTCTTGTAAATTTGTTTGAGTTCTTTGTAGGTTCTGGATATTAGCCCTTTGTCAGATGAGTAGATTGCAAAAATTTTCTCCCATTCTGTAGGTTGCCTGTTCACTCTGATGGTAGTTTCTTTTGCTGTGCAGAAGCTCTTTAGTTTAATGAGATCCCATTTGTCAATTTTGGCTTTTGCTGCCGTTGCTTTTGGTGTTTTAGACATGAAGTCTTTGCCCATGCCTATGTCCTGAATGGTACTACCTAGGTTTTCCTCTAGGATTTTTATGGTATTAGGTCTAACATTTAAGTCTCTAATCCATCTTGAATTAATTTTCGTATAAGGAGTAAGGAAAGGATCCAGTTTCAGCTTTCTACTTATGGCTAGCCAATTTTCCCAGCACCATTTATTAAATAGGGAATCCAAATGGAATCTCTTTAACCATTAAACAATAACTCTTTGTTCCCTTCTCCCCCCACATATTCTATATAGCATTTATGTTCTCCCATTTATAGCATTTCTGTTAGCATTTATGTTCTCCCATTTTTTCACTGGAATAGGACTTTGATTCTGATCTCAGGTTATGATAGATGTTTAAAAAATTATTTTGAAACAATTCTAGATTTACAGAAATGTTACACAGATAGTGCAGAGTTCTGTGTATCTTTCACGTAGCTTCTCTGATTTAATACCTTATCATAGTACAATGATCAAAACCAGGAAATTAACATTGGTACGATACTATCAACTAAGCCAGGGGTTTACAAACTGCACCTGTGGGCCACATCTGATCTTCTGCCTGTTTTTATAAATAAGCTTTTTATTGAAACACAGCCATATTCATTAATTTACTGTTTTCACATATGTACAATGGCAAAGTTGAGTAGAGACGAGTAGTCGCAACAGAGACCATATTGTCCACAAGTCAAAAATATTTACTATCAAGCTTTTTACATAAACCGTTTTATGACCTCTGAAGTAAACTATAGATCTTATTCAGAGATTAGTTTTCCCACTAATGTTTTCTTTCTGCTTTAGGATTCAATCTAGGATCTCACATTGCATTGAATTATAATGTCTCCTTAATCTACTGCAGTCTGTGACAATTCCTCAGTCTTTCCTTTGATGATCTTGACACTTGTGGAGTATTGATTCCTTATTTTCTCAACTGTTCCTTGATATGTATTTGTCTAATGTTTTCTCATGATTGAATTGAGGTTATTATGCATTTTGACAGAATACCACAGAAGTGATGTTGTGTCTTCAGTGCATGATACCAAGAATAGATGATGTCAGTATGTCTTTTTTTTTGAGAGAAGACCTCACTCTGTTGCCCAGGCTGGAGTACAGTGGTGCGATCATGGCTCACTGCAGCCTCAACCTCCTGGGCTCAAGTGATCCTCTTGTTTCAGCCTCCCAAGAAGCTGGGACCACAGGTGTGTACCATCATGCCTGGCTGATTTTTAATTTTTTTTTGTAGAGATAGAATCTCCCTACGTTGCCCAGGCTGGTCTCAAATTCCTGGGCTCAAGTGATCCTCTCAACTTGGCCTCCCAAAGTGCTGGGATTACAGGGATGAGCCACCATGCCCAGCCATCAATATGTCTTATTACTCTCACGATTAACTTTTGTTACTTGCTTAAGTTGGTGTCTGCTAGTATTTTTCCACTGTAAAGAAGAAGACATTATTTTTCTGTGTATATTTAGTATTTTATCGGGAGATACTTTGTGACCATGCATATATTCTGTTTCTTATCATACTTAAGCCCACTAATTTTAGTGTTCATCTTGGGTGAAGCCGTTAGTACTGTGGTATTTGCCTAGTTGTAATTTTCTGTTTATTTCATTACTTCCACATTTAGTAATTGTAAGGAAGAGTTGTTTTCCCCTATTTATTTATTGCATTGTTTATATCAATATGACTTATAGATTTTTATTTTACCAGTTATAATCCAATAGTACCATTTATTTTATTACTCAAATTGTTCTAGCTTTGGTTGTTGGGAGCTCCTTCAAGTTGAATCTTGTGTCCTTTCAACATGTGCCTGTCCATGTTTGAACACTGCTTTATTTTCTGGCACTATAAGATGTTCTAAGCTTATCTTGTATTTTTTCTGCCCTGCTTCCTCTGGCCAAAAAGAGGTTATCTCCTGGAGTTTTATATGCTTCCATTACTGCATTAATTGTGAGAAAAAAAAATTGAGGATTCCACATGTAGAACCTGATTTCCTGGTGTTGTGGCTAGAAATAGGGATTTTCTTCACAGTCTTGTTGTCAGTAACCTCTGCATACCTTTGGAATTTAGCCTGCCTTCTGGTCAAAACCAGGAAACAAAGAAAGAAAATAACCATATGCACTTACAGCTGTCTCCCCTCCACCAATTGTAGAGGGGTCATTATTCAAGTTTTGATTTCAGTCTCCAATCTGCCTATTATTATTTCCCTTTTCGAGTTCTTCGGTTGTATCATCATTGGAGGAGAGAATCTGTAATCTTATTCCATCTTGGCCAGCCTACCTTGCTTGTTTTGAATAGCCAAACTTCTTTTTCATTAATTTTACCTTTGGTAATTACATATATTTTATTGACAGGTAATTTATTCTTATTTTGTCAATTCATATACAATTGATACTTATATTTTAATGTACAACCACAGTTTTATAATTACATTTGAAATACGTTTGAATTTTATTTATATATATCATGTAAAGCATTAACTGATATATTCTATATTATGTATTATCCATTCACATATATACCTCTGACGTTCTTATAATGCTCTGTTTTAATGTCGAGTCATTGGTAAATTAAGTGAATTGGGTTTCTATTGAAAAATAATTAACAATTTTATGTATTTTTTTAAAATTCAAGTGAGCAGTGAAGATTCAGAAGATTCTGATTTTCAGGAATCAGGAGTTAGTGAAGAAGTTAGTGAATCTGAAGATGAACAGCGGCCCAGAACAAGGTATTATAATTGATATTTTAAAAATTTTAGGAGTTAATCTGAATGACCATGCCTTCAAATGATTTGTATGGTTACTGTTACCAATAAAGTTAAGTTAGTGCAATATATAATATTTTGATTTGAAACTAATTGTTATACTTAATAGTTTAAAAAGAATCTAAGCATATTTTATGTGTAATTGAATTGTGTATTCTAACCTGGGTAGATTTTCAGTCTGCAAAACTACTCGTGGCTGCAGTTTTTTATTGTTATGGGGGAAATTGTAGGGTAATAGTGAAGAGGCTTTATAGAAAAACTGCCTCAGTCTAACTCTGGGCTTTTCTACTTTCTATTTGTATAAATACTCTATGCTTCAGTTTCCTCATCTGTAAAGTAGGGGATTACAATATACTTGACTGACTATTGTGGGCATTAAATGAGACAATACATGTACAAGGTTTATAACAGTACCTACCTGGCAAATAGTAAGTGCTCGATATATAAATTATCGGTTTTAGTAGTACTACAGTAATAATGATATGCTTGGTCTTGTAACATGAACAGTCACTGATCTAGATTACCTGTAATTTAAAATTTGGCTTCCTTCTTAGTATGGTATGTTAGATAATACTACTACTACAATTTTTTTATTTCCCCCAGAATAACATAATCTTTCTACAGTTTATCAAATGAACAATCTGTGTGTGTTTGTGTATATATGTCTACAAAGGTGTCTATCTGCATTTGCAAGTTTTAAAACATTTGAGATTTTTTAGGTTAATACTTATCAGGTTGTGCTTAGAGTATAGCAATATATTATACTTTAAGTCAATATAAAATGAAAATGATAAGATACGTTGAGAGTTTTTTTTTAAACCAAGATATAATTCAACATGTTATACTGTGGAATACAGTGGTCTTCAGAGTGTTTGCAAAGTTGTGCAAAAAACACCACTCTATAATTTCTGAACATTTCCATCACCCAAGAAAAAAATCCTGTACTTATTAGCAGTCATTTTCCATTCCCCATGCCCTCGTACTCTAATAAACACTAAAATCTACTTTCTATGGATATGCGTGTTCTGGACATTTTGCATGAGTAGATTCATATAATATATATCCTTTCATGGATTTTTTTTTCACTTAGTGTAATGTTTTCAAGGTTCATCCATGTTGTAGCCTGTATCATTCTTTCCTTAATGATTGTTTTTAATGGTAGTAAAATGCACATAACATTTACCATCTTAACCATTTTTTTTCTTTCATGGTATTACTGGGGATTTTTATTTTCCTCTTAACCGTTTTTAAGTGTATGGCTTAGTAGTGTTAAGTACATTTACTTTTTTTGAACCAGTCTCCAAAACCTTTTCCCCTTGCAAAATTGAAATGTTATTCATTAAACCACTCTCTTTTTCCTCTTCCCTGAAGCCCCTGGCAACCACCATTCTGTTTTCTGTCTCTATGAATTTCACTACTCTAGGAACCTCATATAAGTGGAATCATACAGTATTTGTCTTTTTTGACTGGCTTATTTCACTTAGCATCATGTGTTCCAAGTTCATGTATATTGAGTCATGTTTCAGAATTTTCTTCCTTTTAAAAGTTTAATGTTCCATTGTATACCACATTTTGTTTGTCAATTTATTTGTTGATGGACATTTGATTTGTAACCTTTTGGCTGTCATGAATAATGCTGCTTTGAACATGGGTGTAGAAATATCTCTTCAAGTTCCTGCTTTCATTTCTTTTGGGTATATAACCAGAAAAGGAATTGCATGGTAATTCTATTTTTAATTTTTTGACGAACTGCCATAATAGCAGCTACACCATTTTACATTTCCATTAATAGTGAACAGGGTTTCACTTTCTCCACATCCTTACTGACAGTAGTTATTTTGTCTGGATTAATGTAGCTTTGTGTACAAATTTCTAAACCCAGAAATATTTTTCTCACCAAAAGTTGTTACTGTGTTTTTAAATCTCTGTGGTCTGTTATGAAGAAAACAGTGTTCAAATTTGTAATCTGCTTTTTTTAGTGATGATGAATGTTTTTTAGTATGTCTATTGGCTGTTTGTATTTTATACTAGAAGAATAGTCTTAATGTCCTTTAATGCATCTTCTTACTCATATAACAAACCTCCCCTCAGGATACTGTAAATTGTTGATCATTGGATTAAAATGAAGGGTTATGCTTCTGCTGGAATATCCATTTTTAACCTACTGATTTTTTTTTTTCCTGTTTGTTTTTAGGAATGCATATAGAGGTAGAACAGTTTTAAAATAGTACATAACATATTGATGGAAGTTAATCATGAAATAGTTTATTTTGTGTTTTAAATTTTCTTCAGGTCTGCAAAGAAAGCAGAGTTGGAAGAAAATCAGCGGAGCTATAAACAGAAAAAGAAAAGGCGACGTATTAAGGTTCAAGAAGATTCATCCAGTGAAAACAAGGTAATAATGACATTTACCACATGCTTGAATTATAACTGGTACAGTAGACTATGGTAATCATGCTGTCACCTCTCTGTTCCATTCATTCATTTTATTCTACTGGCTTATTTACATTTTACACTTGGGAAGGATTGGTTATTGTGTGTGTGTGTGTATATATATATATGTAAAAGTATTAATTTGACATTATCAGTTTTTTTCCTATTCCTTAATTTCTAATGGAATTTTAAGCCATTCTAATTCATGATTTTATATTTGTAGTGATGTGAGTGTTCTGTTTTCTGAAGACAAAATACTATCCTGAATGATGACTTATATGGGAATAAATCACGTAGTGAAATTAGCCAGTTTGAGTTTTTTTGTATATACGCAGGCTTACATAAAGTAAAAGGTGTCTGAAATATGTTTGATTCTGTCAACACAGTGCTCTTCCAGAGGGGTATTTATCTTTTGAAAATTAACTTGTTAAATATTTTAAAGTGTACAATTCAGTGGCATTAATTATATTCACAAGCAGAATCTCTTCACTCATTGAACATTAACTCCATTCCCTTCTATCCCCCATCCTCTGGTAACCTCTATTTTCATTTATGTCTCCATGAATTTGTGTATTTTAAGTACCTCATATATATAAGTTGAATCATGCAATATTTGTCCTTTTGTGTCTGGCTTATTTCGTTGACATATTTTCTAGGTTCATCCATGTTGCAGCATGTATCAGAATGTCATTCCCTTTTTAAGGCAAATAATATTCCATTGTATGTGTGTGCCACATTTTGTTAGCCCAGTCATCTGTTGATGGGCATTTGGGTTGTTTCTACCTTTTGGCTATTTTGAATAATACTGCTATGAATATGGGTGTTTACATATCTGTTTGAGTCCCTGTTTTTAATTATTCTGGGTATATATGGAAAAATGGAATTGCTACATCATATAGTAGTTGTATGTTTAACTTTTGGAAAACTCCACACTGTTTTTCTCTAGTGTCTGTAACATTTGACGTTCCTATTAGCAATGTACCAAGATTCCAATTTGTCTACATCTTTGCCAACACTTCCTTTGTTTCTTTTTCTTTCTTTCTTTCTTTTTCAACAAGAAACATCCTAATGAGTGGGAAGTGGCATTTCATTGTGGTTTTTCTTTGTATTTTCCTAATGACTGGTGATATTCAACATCTTTTCATATGCTTATATCTTCTTTTGAGAAATGTTTATTCTAGTCGGTAGCCCATTTTTAATTGAGTTTTTTGTTTTTTTTTAATAGGTGTTGAAGAGTTTTTGTTTTGTTTTGTTTTTTGAGAAAGAGTCTCGCTATGTGGCCCGGGCTAGAGTGCAGTGGCACGATCTCAGCTCACTGCAAGCTCTACCTCCCGGGTTCACGCCATCTTCCTGCCTCAGCCTTCTGAGTAGCTGGGACTACAGGTGCACACCGCCACGCCCGGCTAATTTTTTTTTTTGGTATTTTTAGTAGAGACGGGGTTTCACTGTGTTAGCCAGGATGGTCTCGATCTCCTAACCTTGTGATCTGCCCATCTCGGCCTCCCAAAGTGCTGGGATTGCAGGTGTGAGCCACTGCGCCCGCCCGAAGACCTTTTTTTTTTTTTTTTTTTAATACTACTCTTTATTGCTAAATATAATTCTAAAGGTTTTCAGCATGTTTTCTTCCACCTTTTCCTGGTGTATTAATTAATGGAATATGAAATGGATAAATTAAATGACTTTGTACTGTTTACCTCTAATTGTTTAAATTCCCTAGAGTAATTCTGAGGAGGAAGAGGAGGAAAAAGAAGAGGAGGAGGAGGAGGAGGAGGAGGAAGAAGATGAAAATGATGATTCCAAGTCTCCTGGAAAAGGCAGAAAGAAAATTCGGAAGATTCTTAAAGATGATAAACTGAGAACAGAAACACAAAATGCTCTTAAGGAAGAGGAAGAGAGGCGAAAACGTATTGCTGAGAGGGAGCGTGAGCGAGAAAAATTGAGAGAGGTGACTAATTTATTTCTTCTTCTTCTTTTGTAGCTACAGGGTCTCGCTATGTTGCCCAGGCTGGCTTCGAACTATTGGGCTCAAGTGATCTTCTTACCTTGACCTCCCAAACTGCTGGGATTACAGGCGTGAATCAACACACCCAGCCTTAATTTATTTCTATTAATGATTTATTTTATTTGGTATATGACTTCAATATATTTCAGCATTTTAAGAGTAGAATGTTGTAATCTACCACAGATTTCTCTTTCTTTTTTAGATGGAGTCTGGCTCTGTTACCCAGGCTGGATTGCAGTGGCATGATCTCAGCTCACTGCAACCTCTGCCTCCTGGGTTCATGCAATTCTTCTGCCTCAGCCTCCCAAGTGGCCGGGACTACAGGCATCCACTACCACACCCAGCTAATTTTTGTATTTTTTAGTAGAGTCGGGGTTTCACCATGTTGACCAGACTGGTCTTGCACTCCTGACCTCAAGTAATCTGTCCGCCTCGGCCTCCCAAAGTGCTGGGATTACAGGTGTGAGCCACCGTGCCCAGCCTCAACCACAGGATTTCTAGTTGCAGTTGATTTTTCCTACTGTCACTATTTCATGCAACTCAAAGTCGTCATTAAGCTCTATTAATTTAATTAAGTGCATGGAAAGAATTGAGATTCTTGAATGATCACCAAAATGGTTATGTTGTATTTTGGGTAGAGAAATGTTTCAAAATTACTTCTTAAATCCATAAAAGATTTCAGTTTTTTAAATTGACTTTATGTTACAAAAATTTTCAAATTCACAGGTGGAGAGAATAGTGTAATAATTCTCCCTGGATCTATGAAGTCAGTTTCAGCAGTTACTAACACAGTACAAGTCTTGTTTCATCTTTTTTTTTTTTTTTGAGATGGAGTTTCACTCTTGTCACCCAGACTGGAGTGCAGTGGCGCAATCTTGGCTCACTGCAACCTCCACCTCCTGGGTTCAAGTGATTCTCCTGTCTCAGCCTCCTGAGTATGTGAGATTACATACTCAGGAGTGAGTGCCACCACGCCCGGCCATTTCATCTATTCTTTTTCCTTCAGATTATTTCGGAGCAAATCTCAGAAATCATATTCTGTTTATAAATAGTTGGGAATGTATTGTTAAAAGATAATAGTATTTTAAACATTACTACAGTAGCATTATTACACTGAATTCTCTCATTGCCTCACATAGTAGTTTTAAAAAATAGTTGGTGTGGGCCTGTCGTGGTGGCTCATGCCTGTAATCCCAACACTTTGGGAGGCCGAGGCGGGTGGACCACCTGAGGTCAGATGGTGGAGACCAGCCTGGCTAACATGGTGAAATCCCATCTCTACTAAAAATACAAAAAAATTAGCCAGGTATGGTGGTGCACACCTGTGATCCCAGCTACTTGGGAGGCTGAGATAGGAGAATTGCTTGAACCCAGGAGGCAGAGCTTGCAGTGAGCCAAGGTCTCACCATTGCACTTTAGTCTGGGTGACAAGAACGAAACTCAGTCTCAAAAAAAAAAAAAAATAGTTGGTTTGAATCAGGTCTTAACAAGGGCCATCTGCATATTCTGTTGTATTTGAATGCTAAATCTCTTTCCTAATTTTAACCTAGTTTCCCTTTGGTTCTTTCTTTTTCTTTACCCATTCTTACAGTTCATTTGTTTAAGAAAACAGATTAGTTTTGTAAAATTTTCTATATTCTGAGTTTTGTTATTTGCATCCCTGTAGTACAGTTTCATTGGCATCTTTATTTCCTATAAACTAGTAATAGAATCTAGAGTCCCAAGCAGATTTAGATTCAGTTCTTTTTTTTGGTAGAAATACTCATGGGCAGTAATAGTACTTCCTTTTGCATCTCATTAAGAGGTACTTTAAATCTGGTTGTCCCCTTTTTGTGGTACAGCTCCTCTAACTTTGTTCCACTTTTTCAGAATCTTTCTGGGCATTCTCAGTTCTTTGCATTTCCACATAGTATTATGTTGTTGGTTTTTACAAAAATCCCTGTGGAATTTCTATTGGAATTTTGTTGAATCTTTCTTGTAGTGTGGCCAGAATCGACATCTTAACAGTGTTTTGTCTCCTATTACATGAATATAGTGTACCTCTATTTATTTACCTTCTCTTTAATTTCTCTTAGGAATGTTTTGTAGTTTTCACTGTATAGGTCTAGTACATATTTTAAAAGATTTATCCCCAAGTAGTTCATGGTTTTTGATGTTCTATTGTATTAGTCCATTTTCATGCTGCTGATAAAGACATACCCAAGACTGGGCAATTTATAAAACAAAGAGTTTTATTGGACTTATAGTTCTACGTGGCTTGAGGAGGCCTCACAATCATGGTGGAAGGCAAAAGGCACATCTCACATTGTGGCAGACAAGAACTTGTGCAGGGAAACTCCTCTTTTTGAAACTATAGATCTTGTGAGACTTATTCACTATCACAAGAACAGCACAGGAAAGACCTGCCCCCGTGATTCAGTTACCTCCCACTGGGTCCCTCCCACAACATGTGGGAATTCAAGATGAGATTTGGGTGGGGACACAGCCAAGCCATATCATATAGTAAATGTAGTTTCAAGTAATGTTGGCATAATGACCTTGTGTCCTCAGCTCTAAATTTACTTACTTGTTATAGTAGCTCTTTTTTGATAAATTCTTTATGACTTTCATGTATACATTTGTGTTGTCTGTGAAGAAAAACTATTTTGCTAATTCCATTCCAATCTATCATTTATTTCTCTTTTTAAATTATAAATGGTGAATTTCTTCAAATGCTTTTCATTGCGTCTGTTGGAGTGACCTAGAAAATGTCATGGATTCCTTGAATAAACCTTGCTTAGTCGTGTTGTATTGCTCCTTTTATATATTGTATTGCATTTGCTGATCTCTTTCTTTCTTTCTTTCTTTCTTTCTTTCTTTCTTTCTTTCTTTTGGTTGTATTGTTCTTTATATATTGTATTGCATTTGCTGATCTCTTTCTTTCTTTCTTTCTTTCTTTCTTTCTTTCTTTCTTTCTTTCTTTCTTTCTTTCTTTCTCTCTCTCTCTCTCTCTCTCCCCCCCCCCCCCCCCCCTCTCTCTCTCTCTCTCTCTCTCTCTCTTTCATAGGGTCTCCTCTGTCTGTCAGGCTAGAGTGCTGTAGTGTGATCATAGCTTACTGCAGCCTCAAACTCCTGGGCTCAAGCAATCCTCTTGCCTCCACTTTCCAAGTAGCTGGGACAACAGGCATGTACCACCATACCTGGTTAATTTTTTGTTTTAGAAATTGGGTCTCATTATGCTACCCAGGCTGGTCTTGATCTGCTGGCCAAAAGTGGTCTTCTCCCATCAACCTCCCAAAGTGCTGTGATTATAGTTGGGAGCCCCCACACCTGGCGTATTCCATTTCTTTAATACATGTAGAACTATTTAGATCTTTTCTTTTTCTTTAGGTCTGTTTTGGTAAATTTCATCCTTAAGGAATTTTTCCTTTTCATTTAAGTAGTCAAATTATTTATGTAAATTTGTTTATAGTCTTTCGTTATACTTTGTAGGTTCTGTCATTTATTGTTTCTGTTAGAAATTTGTGTTTTATCATTTTTTTTCCTTGATTAACCTGTGCAAAAATTTCACAATTTCACTATCTCATAAAAGAGAACCCAGCTTTGGATTTTATTAATTTTTTTTCTATTGTTTGACCCTTTTCTATTTCATTGATTTTCATTCTTATTTTTACTGTGTTTATCCTTCTTTGGACTTATTTTCTCTTCTTTTTCTAGCTACTTAAGGTGGATTTTGGATCTTTTTTAATATAGCATTTTTAAAGGTATAAAATTTGCCACTGTGCATACTGTTTAAACTCTGCATCTTACAAATTTTGGTATTTTGTGTTCATTTTTACTCTGCTCTGAATCTTTTCTAATTTCTATGAGCCAGAATATGATCTGTCTTGGTGGATGTTCATTGTTTATATTCTGCTGTTGTTAGGTGATTTATTCTATAAATTTTGATCTGATTATATTGATGGTTGATTATATTCAGATCTTCTATAGTTTTAATGGTATTCTCTCCAATTAGAGGAGTGTTGATGTCTCCAACTATAATTGTTAATTCATCTCTTTTTCCTTGTAGGTCTCAGATTTTGCTTCATGTTTGCTGGAAGTTGTTTTGTTAGGTACATATACATTTAGGATTACATCTTTCTGGTTAATTCCCCCTTTAACAACATATAATGTGACTCTGTATTATCTGGTAATTTTCTTTCACCTGAAGTCTGCTGTATTTGATAATAACGTAACGACATCATCTTTCTTTTCCAACATCTTAGGAAAAGTTTCAGTTCTACAGCCAGGTTGAAAGTATTTCATTGATTTCCCATAAACTAACTTCCTAGATTTTTTTCATTTTCATATTTGCCTTATTACATTCCTATTTATGTACTAATCTTTATCCATCAGTACATCTTTTTATGCATTTCATAGTAAATTCCATACATCATTTCATTTATCTCAAACGCTTTGGCATGTGTATCATTAGCTAAAGTTCAATATTTATGTTTTCCTTTTTATGTAAAAGGAAATTTACTTAAAATGAAATGCACAAATCTTGTGTAGATTTGTTTTTGAATAATACATGGTATATATTTTCTCATTATTTTTTCTAGTAATTTTGTTCCCCCACAATTTTATCATGAAATTTGTAAATATATGGAGAGAATTATAAACGTGAACACGAATGTACCTACCATGTAGCTTCTTCATTTCTTAACATGTTGCTGTACTTGCTTTATTACATATCTATTTTATCTATACATCCATCAACCTTTTTAATTTTAATTGTCCCTGCTCTAATCTGTATTATTTCCTTTTATTCTCTAGCTAGGGTTTAGTTTGTGCTTCCTTTTCTGGTTCCTTAAAGTGTAAAGTTAGGTTCTTGATTGTGATCTTTCTTCTTTGCTAATGTATACCTTTATCACTGTAAATCCTCTTCTTAGTACTGTTTTCTCTGCATCCCATAGGTTTTGTAT